AGGATGGGGTGGGAGACAATGTCAAAGGCCTTGCTGAAGTCTAGAAAGACTACGTCCACAGCAACACCTGCATTCATTGCCTTTGTGACCTGATCATAAAAGGCAATCAGGTTGGTCTGACATGACCTGCCCCTAATGAAACCGTGCTGGTTGCCCCTCCACTGACAGAACTGGAAGTATTAACAGATTGCAGAAATATAATTTTGTAAGAAATAGTTTATAGTTCAATAATTTATTGTTCACCTTTCTATAGGATTCTGACCCATATACATTAGAACTATTTATATTCTCCATTTGACTACAAATTGTGGGACGGGCAGGTATTTAAATGAAGAGTGAAGCAATGAAAGAACAACTACAGCTGTTTTTAGGTATTCAGATAAACTTCTGCACCCAGAATGTCTGGACTCCTGCTAGCCAGGGCTATGCTACAAGACTTCATCAGCATAGCCATGATGTCAGACACTTGATGAAGTACAATCTCTAGTTACATCGGCAAAAATGGAATTTTTGCCACTATAGGTTATTTTGCTCAAGGGATTTGGAATGAATGATGGTAGAAAAATTAAATTTTGCCATGCAAGTTGCATATTCACAAGGAGTGTTTTGCTGACATAGCATAATACTATGTCAGCAAAGCATCCTTCTGTACAATAGCCTGTATTCAAGCTCATGGCTACTGGATTCTATAAAGGGTCTGAGCCCACATAATAGCGTCAGAGCTTCCCTTCAAGGTAAAAGGATATTTGGATGTCCAGAAGTTCATATCAAGGTGCTTTAACTTTTTAACTGATGAAATTGCTTCATGGTCCTGTGATGAAAGGAGCTAGAGGATTAGAAACAATGCAGCCTCAGATCTAAATTGCTCAGGGGTGGATACACAGCCCTTGTGAAAAAGGATGGAAATGCTCATAGTACAATGCTATATGGAGATAAAGTTTAGGTTTCATATGAAAAAATACCTGTCCATCTGTCCTTTCGCCACTGCTATATTTGCCCTGCTGCCTGTTGTCTAAGTGATATATTTTGTCTTGAAAATAAAAATGTAGGTTTTAAGAAAGGACACCACATAGAATATTTCTGTGGTGTCAAATCTGTGCTAAGTAGTGCCCTCTTATGGTATCTCAATAACAGTGAATTCTAAATGACAGGGGAAAGAGCGTGGGTTAACTTTTCAGTTGATATAACTGGTGCCGATGTACCGACTTAAAGGAGATATGCTGATTTACGCTAGTGAGACCATGTTTTCTTGTGTTGGAACATTCCATTTAGATCATTTCATAGTTATTTAAGTAACTAAACAGCACTACTACTTAATGCTTCTTATCTGATCTGTATGGGCAGATAAAATTGCTATGCAAAACATCAAAACAGGAGACTAGCATTTAAGCATCTGGGAAAAAAATGGAATTACTTTTCTAACAGATACAAAGAAATGCCTTTATATGAGCAAAGGCAACCTCTCAAAGTCTAATGCCCTAATAAAAAGTATTATTTGCCCCTTTTTTTTAGTAAGTGATAGTGCCCCAGTTACAGGTTCCCTGTAATAATCTAAATCAGCACAAGCCTCCCCAGTAGCAGATAAGTAGGAACAGAGGAAGTGGGTCTTGTTTTCCTTTCTGTACTGTGCATGCCTCAGTCTCTGAAAATGTGGCACAAAAAGGTGTACTATCCCAGCAAATGGGGAAATAATGAACCTTTGAGAACTCACCCCAGGACAAGCCTACTCTATGCTGGGCTGTGCCCTAATGGCACAATCAAGCCCTTTGTTGGACTTGTCAATACAATAAGGTGTGTTGTTAGCACCATCATTTTCAAAATGGAAATGTAATGATATGATGTCTCAGCATGAATATAGCATTCAGAGCTAGAGTAGAAGGAGAAGCTGACTGAAGGAAAAGGGGGAATAATCTAATAAAATCTGTTTAGACTAGTGGGCAGTACAACAAAGGAAATGGAATGCCAAGGCCCACATTGGACACCTATATAATCCCCCCCCCCAATAATGTATATAATAGAAGTGGACCATTAGTTCCTTTTGACAGTGTAATGTTTTCATTGCTTCCAGTCAAGCACCAGTAATGGAAGTGTTCTGTGCAGAATGATTATCTGGCCTGATATCAAAATCAGATACACAGACTTTTCCCCAAACAATCAAAAGTGTGAATCTGAGTCAGTTCAGCTGTTGTAGAACACTTATATATGGAAATGATAATTTCAGAATAAAGAATAGCCAAACACAGATTTCATCTTAAGTTGATCAAAACTGACTTTAACTACTTGTCTTCAGAAATAGGAATACCTGCAGTAGTCCATCTCAGTTCCTTAAAACAGATAGTGTGCAAATACCATGACTGAATTACATGTGCGTTACTGTAGTAGAATTATTGTGCATTTCCAATGAGACAGCCCCAATGGTCAGGAGATTGTGTGTGGAAGGGACTGTGAATTTTCCATTTTTTTTCCCCAAGCCTTTAGGACTCATGTTTTTCAGTCTTTTCTCAACTACAAGTGGTAATTTAAAAATCCCATCCAAGGAAGGGTAGTGGGATATCCAAAATCTTGACTAAGTCTATCCCAACCATATAGATGGTCCAGTAAAAATTTCTGCCCATCTAAAACGTTTCTACTTGATCAGAAGATTCAGCGAGGTAAGTCTTTAAAGGCAAAGACGTCAATTATGATACTTGTGATTAAATTGCAGGAGCTGTACATGCTGACATTTTTGTTCACTTAACTGCAGCCTTTGGTGCTTTTTCTTCACACTGGTATGCCACTACATTGATGTGCACTGTTCTGGTCATTATAACAATACTAGGGTTCCTGAAAGAGAGAAAAGAGCTCTTTTCATCTATGAAGAAGTAGGTTCCAGTGATCTGGAGTAACCATTTGTTATTTTAATTAAAAGGTAGTAAGAGAGGCCAAGTTAGATTCTGCCCTTGTCTACACCTTGCCTCCCTGCCTATACGTCTGCAAAGGGTATAGTTTGCCATTTACAAGCACATGGTAAGTATCAAAAATATGTAGCTTGCAAATGGAAGGTTCTTTGGGTATCACCCAAACAAAGCAAGCTGAGACTACATCCTGACATGAAGCCAAGAAGAATACACTAGTACAAAGATAAGAACATGGCATCAGAAGACATGGACACATGTAATGCTCAGACGGGTTTAAATGAGGTTTAAACTCAAAGCAGTTGAGTTTAATCTGTAATTAAATTCCAATTAAACACCACCAAAAGTCGTGTCTGGGGCCTCTGCCCTGGTTATTCTCTCCCCCACTCAGTTACGCTAGCAAGGAGGAATGGTCTCAAATTGCAGCAAGGGAAGTTTATGTCAGATATCAGGAAGACCACTCTCATTATAAGAGTGATTAAGCACTGGAACCTGTTTTACATTGTGGTTGTATAAACACTTGTCTAGTACTGTATAGATAGGGATAACCTTGCCTTGAGCTGGGGCTTGGACTAGGTGACCTCATGAGGTTTCTTCCAGCCGCTTTTCTATGCTATGGTACAGGAACACTAAAGCCCTGATTCTCAGCACTCCCCTTGGCTGGGGATGCTTGGTGTACACCAAGCATACCTAACCCTAATTTCCCCACCTTTTGAGTGTGGGTGACAGCTTGATATCCTGGATGAAATACTAATATTGTAATGGCCCTATAAGGGGCCTATTTTAGCCAACAAAATACATAGCATCTTTGACCTCAAAATGCTCAGCCCTAAGCATGAAAGTGCTTTTCTTTCTCTCTTCCCTGCCTCTGCCTACACTGTGTTTGGCATAAGCCAGGCCCAAGTTTTGGGCCCTGATATGTATGGCCTGATACTGCCCTGATACAGCCACTGAATACTAACAACTCCCTCAATTCCTGAAGCTGCCACCCTGGATTAGTGTATTAATTCTTTAATATCTGTAGTACTTTAAGCACTGTCCTGAGGGGGCTCACAACTGAAAACAGAAATCAAGGGGCAGTCTCAAAATGTGAAGTCCTGAAAGAAAGGCAAAAGAGACTGGGACCAACAAATCACTTGCTGCTGGGTGTGCTGGAGCATGTGAGGCTCCACTCCCCTTACTGAGCATCACCTTTATTCAATCACAGTTCACCTTGATTACAGGCTTCATGGCTTAGTATTCTCATGCCTGTTTAAGGTCCACTGATTTATCTGTTATTTACTTTACCTTTAAACTTTTACGGAGGCTGTGACAGATCTTGCGGAGCAGCTTCCCTATTGGAGAAAGCACTTGGTTGTGCTTGTGGAGTTTCGCTTTTTAATTTGCTCAGATTCAGCTTGTTTATGCAGCTGCACAGCATTTCTCAGCCAGCCTGGCTTCAGTGGACTGAAGTCTTTCCCCCTTAGAAGAAAAATAGCTGATAGAAAGGTAAGCTTTTCCTTTATACCTGGACTTGGATTGGGGCTTTGGGAATTAAACCAAATGCACACCACAGAGGACTGAGAAACAAAGCCAAATTAGTTGTACAGAACTTTGTGCCCATGATGTGCTACTGGGACTAGACTGCTTCCAAGACAAGTTAGCTCAGGCATTTCTACCCGGTACTGCACTTGTACGCAACATGCAGTGTAAGTGTACCCCACCTCTTCTCCCCAAAACAGTGACAACCTGTGCACTTTTTTAAATCAATTCCAAAAACTGTTTTAGGTACTAGTAATGCAGATGTTTTAGTGTCAAATGTGTGCAACAGACCGGCCACTTGCAACCACAGAGGTGGTTAGCCATTTTAGTCTGAATTGAGGCAGAAGGTAGGCCAAAGTGGCATCTTAGGGTGTGTACAGTTTTTTGCTACAACCAGTCTGCATTCACATGGTTTGCTTTAAGCTGCATATTCAAGCCACAGTTCACCTTGATTACAGGCTTTATGAGTGGAGTGGCATGTACAGGTGCTTACCAGTCCCAGGAGCCAAGCAGGAAAACAGAAGTAACTAACTCAGGGTGGGGAGAGAAATCAGGGAAGGTAATGGGTCAGGGGAAGGCAGAGGCTAAAAAATTGTCCAGTGGTGGGGGAGGGGAAGGGAAGAAAAACACAGCCCTGGGGCTGGTGGCAGCTGAGCTTTCCCATCCCCAGGGCCATGCTCTGAAAGTGTACAGATATTCAATAGATTGGGTCAACTCACTACCCAATTTAAGTTAGGTCACCTTCTCCAGTGACCTAACTCAGATAGAGCCTGCCATTTTTTTTGCTCAATTTAACCACTTGAATGCATGTACAGATGGGCCTTTAGATCCACCCAACCCTAGTAATATTTATCTAAATATAATCTAAATATAATGCCTGTACATACACTTTGGCTAGGGACAGACATTCAAAAAGCCTGAGCCTGAATTGATTCACTCTTTGCAGGTTAGTTTAAACTTACGGGCTCATCTCTGAGAAGTGTTTTCCAAGTTTCCTTTGAGGATTAGAACTGAGAGATTGGAGACAGTGGTTTTCTTGTGAGAAATGTGCCCCCACAGGTAATTGGGTATTTTTGTCCGATAGATTTCCAGTGTGCATTCATTCTGGTGTGCAGTTGTTGTTTGGTTTCTTGTACGTATTTTCCATCAGGGCATTTGGTGCACTGGATGAGATGTATTACATTTCTGGAGGTGCAGCTGTAAGATCCAGGAATGGTGATGGTTCTGTTGTGGGGTGTAGTAATTGTGGGGGTGGTGGAGATGTGTTGTCAGGTTTTGCATTTCTTGTCATAGCCTAGTGTGAATCCATTCGGTGTGTTCTAGGCCTGAGGAAGTGTGCTTATGGTGACAAGGTTAGCGAGGTTTAGTGCTTATTTGAAGGCTATGATGGGTGGCTCTGGGAAGATCTCTTCAAGAATAGGGTCTCTTTCTAGTATGGGTTGCAATCAAGGTTCCCTCCAAGCTGTGTGCATGCACAGCCACGCACGCTTTAAAATCATGTTGTGCACAAACTTATTAATGCCGCGCACCCTCCCAGAGAGGCGCAGCATAAAAGTGACACTAGAAGAGACCAATGGCAGAGGCACTGGGGCCAGCATGGGGCACTTACTGGACGTAAGCTCAGGCAGCAGCTCCTCCCCAAGGCCATGCGTCTCCTCACTCCCAGAGGCATGGTGAGGTGTGGGCTAGCGCGGGCGCAGCTGGGACTGGGAAACTGCTCCACTCCCCAGCCCTGATGCCACATGCCTCCTCGCTCCCAGAGGCAATGCAGGGGCTGAGGGCTGGTGCGGGCTCTACCGGCACTGGGAAACTGCTCCACTCCCCAGCCCCAACACCATGTGCCTCCTCACTCCCAGAGGCCAGGCAGGGGCTAGGTGCAGGAAACCTGTGTTTGAGTGGAGTGGCAGCTACATTTTCTTAGCGTATGGTCTAAAGAGGAAATGTAACCCTACACAGTAGAACAGTCCTGGTGTCTTCTACTTAAGATATCTCTATTCCTCATGGCACAATTAGTCAAAACAGCACCTCTGTGTGGCATATTAAGCAGGCCTTACTGAAAAATGTACCACTTAAAGATAAACAACACTTGAGCATTTTTGTAGAAGTTGGGTGTTTCAATGACACGTAATAAAGCAATGAATTAAAATGAAATTTGTTCTTTTACTTTTTCTCTGGAAATAGAAAGGGCTGGGGAGAAAAGAGCAAAGAACCATCACACCTACCAAAACCTGAGTCAACAGTTATTCCATATAAGAGAAATACATGCAATTCATTTTGAAAGCTTCAAATATGAGGTTTCCCAGGCAAGTTTTGCATGAGTTTAGGAAGAAAACCAACAAACTAAATGAAAAACATAAAAACCCAGAACATCCGCATACAAAGTTGTCTTCATAGGAGTTTTCCTTAATAAGGCCTCCAACATAGGCAATGGTTATGTTTACATAAGCATGGGTTAAATTTATATAAGCATAGTGTAAAGAAGGAGCCAACATGAGAGACAGTCTGATGCTAACATAATTTATTAGAATTTGGTGTAGACTAATTCGGGTTTGGGGAAGGGGGGAATGAAGGTGAACAACCATCAGCACCACTCAGGAAATCAACAAGAAATGAAAACCAAACCTTCCTCTCTGCCCCTTCCCCACCCAAACCCTACAGCAATATAAGAAGTGGTCCAGTGTAGGTGTCATGTTTCCATTCTTTACCCAGGTGGCTGCTTGCTCAATGTCAACAGGCTCCCACAAGCTTCTCCAGCCCCTTAATGGCCATACAGGTCCATAGTACCTACACCACCTGCCCTGTTTACCTGTCCACAACAGATCCTACTCCATAAAACTGAAGTAGCACCGTGTCATGCACCCAGACAAGTTCTACATGCATATATCTTTTAACCTAGACACAGTGTTTTGTTTCTTAAAAAACAGCAAAACAATACAAGAAAGACAAATAGACCTAAGAAGCTGCATAAGAAACAATTGTTTAAAAAGTAGTTTATCTAGGTACATACACCATAGTCTTGGCTACAAGACAAAAAATATATTTGGAGTTGTATGGTGCAGCAGTAAATATCTCGCATCTACACGTGTGGCTTTCTTAGGCTGTGGGAAACTAATAAACTCTGCAGTAGCTGAGTAGTTGTAAATAAGAGTACTCATCTTGCTTTGGAGTTGTTTACTCCACCACAGTGCACATGTAGACATCGGGGCTGGCTGGGGCACGAGGATACTTTAGTGTGGGGGGGGCTGCCTGCTGGCTAGCTCCGCACTAAAGCACCCTCATTCCCCAACCAGCCCCTTCACAGCATGTTGAGCCAGGAGGGAACAGCCCCAGGCTGGCATGCTGACTCCCAGGATCCTCTGCCAGCTGTGGCTGCTCCAACCCAGCTCAACATGTTGTGGTCTCAAGCGTATGTTCAAATGTGGCGCCTGGGAGCAATAAACTACAGCTTTAGCAAGCTGAAACAAAAAATAAGCTGACAAACATAGCAGATGTTACTGTTTGAAGGTTATTAATTAACTTTGTGATACAGTATAGTTTTTGTTTCACTTGTACATTTTAGACCAGATCCCAGACTGCCACAAATCAACCTAGCTCCATTTTAGATAGCAGTTCTATGATTCCAACAGAGTTATGCTGATTTAAGTGAGCTGAAAATCTAGACCTTGTTTTATTAAATGCAGAAGGCAGCCAAAAGCTCATTTCTTGGTACTAAAGGAAGAACAACATACAAATGCAGTAAAGCCTCAGGTTCATTCAAACATATCATAGTTTCAGGGGGCATTTGTACATGCCACAAAATTGGTTTTTAAAGCAGGTTACATGCCCTTTTGCACTGTTTTAATGGTGCTGCTGTTTGCACATTTGGCAGTGTATTGCACATTAGATGACTTTGGATGTAGCAAAATAAAACATGTCTGAGGTGTTTTAGTTTGCTACCTTAGTAGTCACAGAGAAAACCACTGGGCCCTGTGCAGCTCAGGGGCTGCGCAGACAGCCCAGCGGCAGTCTGTGTAGGCTGGCTCCACTGAAGAAAAAAAGTGGCAATCCATTTAAAAAAATGTTTTTCACTCCCTGGAGCCTGCCTGTGCTTGAGCTGCGTGGGGCCCAATGCTTCCCTCCGTGGCTGCTGTGCCCCCTGGGACCACTTGGGCTGACTTCATTTCACCAGCCTTCTTTCACCCCCATTTCCTTTCCATCTACCATTTTGTTACCCACCTCCATCTCATTAACTCTCCACCTCCCAGCTTCATGTCTGAGGGGAGGGGGAGGCCTCCCCTTGCCCACCCAACCCCTCTCTCACCCCCCCACCCCCACACACACAGAGCAGGGATAGAAGCTTGTCCTGGCTCCCCAGCCAGGGGCAACTCTCAGCTCCAGCTCCTAGTGAGGCCCCTGCTCACCAGCCTTCTAGTGGCAAGTCACAGCTGTGCAGATGGGGAGCAGTCAGAGAAGGTTTTTAGCTTTAAGACGTGACTGCTCCAAACTCAAGCTAGCACTAACACTGATCAGCATTTGAGCAGCTCAAAGTGCAGTGTGTAACAAGGCCCTAAGAGAGTTATCCTGCTGACAAAGGTGAACAGAGGATGGTGTCAGGTCACCAGATAGCCAATAAACATTTAAATATAGGCAGCCCTGAACAGTCAAGAAGCATGAAAATGTGTTCCCCAAAAGCCATAGGATTTATAAACTGAAAAACCATGAATTTGCACTTTAACTTCCTGATTTGAGCCTTCATGGTCCACTTGGGTCAAGTTCTCAAACTTCCCTACAGCTTTGCGGTCTCAAAATCTTTAAAACAAAACCAATCCTGATCTGTAGGAGCTGGGGCTGTAATGGACAGTAAACACAATGTCTTCCCACTTAAAATATTTACAAGCAATATAGGCAGTGATTTGTAAGTCAAGCAAATAATATACTAATGAAGACTTGTATGAGCTGGGAACACACTGATAAAGCAGTGGACAAGAGAGACCCCATACAGTGTGTGCATCTCACTAGAATTTCATTGTTCAAGAGTGTTAAACTTCAGTCATGATACTAATTGAAATGGAGGTAGAGGAAGAACCAAGTTGAAGCTACATCTTCCATTATATTACCTGGAAAATTAAGGAGCCTAACTCCTCTGGATGCATGCAGATTCTCAGCGGAGGGACATCAGGCTCACTGTAAACACATTTTAAATAGGGTTTGTTTCTTTGCAGGATATGGCACAGAGAAAAATGGGGAAGGAGATGACTGTCACCTCAGATGGACATCACTCAAAGCCAACGTATGTTTACAAGGTGGTTCTCTTAGGGAGCATGGTGGTGGGAAAGTCAAGCTTAGCTTTCTGATATGTGAAGAATAGCTTCAGGGAAACAATGCCGACTGTTGGATGTAAGTAAGCAGTCACAACATGAAGGATCCACCTTGCAGGAGTCTCTCTACTGAAGTTTAGGGCACTACAGGAGTGCCTTCATTGTAGTTCAAGGGCCTCAGAGCTTTTTAGTAGTTATGGGTTCTGTTTCTACTGTAATGATCTGTTGCTTTGGCAGCAACATCACAGGTAGAAAAGAAATTTGCTTCACCCTTGCAAATATAACAATAAGATGCAGAAAATTCTGGTTGAAGCAGATCAAACTGGACACACTAGACTGTGAGACTTGCATATTTTAAAATGAGGTAGGCTTTACCTGATATTGCCTTTTATGGCTATTCAGAGAGTTACATAAGAAAGATTTTTGGAATTTAAGCAAGGGGCTCTCCCTATTACTCTCAATTCCCACAGAAGTTCACTAGCAGGGAGACTTCAGCTGTTTGCAAGACATTTCTCTGCAGGGCTGTATTTGAGATAACGGGAAGCAACAGAACAAGAAAGCATAAACCTTGAAGAGAGCACAGGTGGAGTGAGTAATTGTGGAGTGAGAGTGACATCTAGTGATTGTTTTCAGGTGTTCAACACAGTGCAGGTTGCTGACAGTCTCAATACTGCCATTGGCAGTTTCTCTGGAACGTACCATGAGACCAAAGGGTGTCGATACACATGCTCCGAGGTGTGGGGGGCGAGAGGGAGGCAGGCGAGTGTTTCAGTTAGAGTGACTCCAGTACAGCCACTTTAATTAAAATGCCACAGTGTCGCATGTATTCAGCCTCCTGCATTTCAAAGTGGGTTTTAGTTAATTCAATGCATTTTAGATGAAAGCACCCCTGCCACCATTCTGAAATGCAGGAAACAGAATACATGCAACACTGCAGCATCCTGGAGTGTTTTAATTAGAGCGCTCCAACAGACTTGATTAATTGAGGCTGCTCCGAAGCATTCCAGTTAGAACATGTCAGAGCACATGTAATAGCCCAAGGAAAGGTGCCATTTTTATAGGCCTTCTTTCTCCCTATAAGGACATCTGAATTTTATTCCCACCCTTGTCCCATTCTGCTACAAATGCTTTTACAGTTGGGTTAGAAGCACCACCACAGCTATTGCAGAAACTGATTGCAAGCATCTTAGAAGCTTTACTTCAAGGCATCTTGCATAACAGCCCTGTGACTGCAGAGCATACACCAAGGAGCATGATGCTACTTATGTGGAGAAAATAGGACTTTGGAAAAAAGAAATCCTTCTCAGGAGTGCCAATTCTAGGGAGCTACTGTACTACAGCTGATAATATTACAATTCAGTGGGATATGGAAGAAAAGCTGACTTTTGGATTGACTTGCACACAATACAAGACTCAACACAGAAATTTGAGTTTTCAACCCAAACAAAGAAGTGGGGGGGAAAAATGCTAGGCTTGATCTAAAACTGAATCATTCCATTTTCTAGTTTATTTAAGCCTTTTAAAGAGCTTTTAATTTAGATAATTTTTTGAGGTCGGGGGAAGGGGAGATAGGGGAAGATATTTTAAAACAGTTAAAAAAATTGTAGCAAGTTCCAAACTGAAATTTCTTCTGACTTTTTAATTAGACCCCTCTGGAAAATGGGCAAGTTGAGGCACAAATATTCAAGGGCTAAATTGCAGCTTTGACTGCATGTTTGTATAATGGATTAAAGAAAGCCCAAGATCCTCTCCCTATCACGTACACTTCAGGTCCAGCATACAGCATATGCTCCTAGTCACCTCTGAAAAGCACTACAGGAAAAACAGGGAGTATGGGCTTCCTGTCATGACACCTACTCAGTCCACACACTTCAGCCCGTTTGGGGGTTGTGGAGGGGAAGAAAAAAATGCAACATGCTGCTAGCTAGCAGGTGCCAGCAGCAAGTTTCTCTCCCTGTTTTCAGAACAAGTGAAAGGTTGCATCTCAGAAATATGAGGCACAGACTCTCCCCCTGGGTCATACAACTAATGCTTGCTCAGAATTAGACTTGAGCCTAGATTTTGTTTTTAGCTTTTGAGCTAACAGCCCTCACCTCTTACAAGGGTGCAGCATATGCAAGTGGATTTGAATTCTGATGTTTCATCCCACACTTTCACCACATCTCTTCAGTGAGCTCTCCAAAGATAAAAATTACTAGCGAGATAACACACAACACATTTACATCTGTGTCCCAGTGGTTTTGTACACCAGGATCTGGAGAAGAAGGATCAGTTTTTCTCAGAGTAGTAAAATGTAGGCTACTACTACAGTAGTCTACTCCTGTGTGCCAAGGGAGCAACTAATAGTTTAAGAAAAGTGTTAAACTGGTATAGTCAGCTAAAATTGGCTAGAGTTCCAGATATGTAATACATACACCAGGGAATAGGCACTATGTTTTTTCATGCAGTAACTTCACACTGAAATAGCGTTTCATTTTTACATTTGTGTGTACATGTGCCTGGTGGGCTGACAATTCTGCTGAAGTTCACCAATTTAATACGCTGGTGTTACTGGGCGGTAACTGAATTTCACTTGCATCTTTTTTATTATTTCCCACATTAAAAAGACAGAGGCTTTCCCAGTCTCTAGGAGCTTAATTTGCTCTCCTTCTAAATGTAATGTCTAAAGGGTTTATTGTTCATCCTGAGCCATGTCTTCAGGCAGCTCATAGTGGACAAAGATTAACATTCAATACATGTGCACGGAGTCTTCCAAGTGAAAAGTACCACTGCCTTGTCATTTCTTTCAGGTTCTTTCTTCAAACAGATGATACATTTAGAGACTGCCAATGTTATGTTTGAGATCTGGGATACTGCAGGTCAAGAGAAGTACCATAGCATTTGTCATCTTTATTACAGGGGTGCTAGAGCTGCTGTACTGGTATATGATATTTCTAGAAAGGTAAGACTAAAATCTTGTTCATCCATCATCAGTCTCCAACTTGCCATGGTATTCTGCTTAATTCATAATAATGCAACATTACTAGTATGCCATAATCATTATAGCAAGCAATGAACCAAGGCTCCTGTCTTATAGTGTGCTAAGTGATAACTGTTTATACAGGTACATCATTGATGTTTTCATTAGTTTAGTTAGTAAATATAACTCATTTCAACATATATTATGGAAGACAAGTCACTACCCCACTTGATAGTGCCAACAGGAATGACAAGAGAGGTGGGTGGTGTAATGAGAAAGACTGCGTATATAGAGTTCCATATTCTAAATGGCTGGCCTCCCTGTTCTACAAATAGAGGTCTATACTCAAGGCCAGACAAATAGGAGAGAAGAGCAGCAAGACTGAGTGAGGCCCTTCTCCTTTGAACTGCAGAGGATTCTCCAAACATTAAAAGCAATACTACTCGAGTCAGCATGGCCTACTTTTATGGCTTCCCTACCTTTGGACACAGAAAGGGCCTACATTTGCAACACAACAATATAGCTAAGGACCTGGGAGCTCTTAGGTTCCGTTGTTTCTGTTGATCTTAGAGTCTTAGGCAATCTAGTCATAAAATGGCCAAAACAATGGGCCTGTTTCTTCTCTTCTACAGTCTGATAAACTGGTTTTTCAATATGCATTTATTTCCTTAATGCCATTCTGGTACCTCTAGATAGAGCTTTACTGTTTAGATATGATGAATGCAACTGTTGACAGCTTACACAATGTATTAACCTTTTATAACAAGAAGGCACAAGGTTAATCTCCGAAAGGAAACAATGCAACAAAAAGATTGGGTTCCAAAAATCAAGCTCCTCCCTTCTTTAGTGTCTGAAAGCCCTCCAGATGTCAGGTGGTAGAAATCAAGTTCCTTGTACTTTTTCTGTAGGGTCTGTCCAGGAAAAGGACATGTGCTATATCACATTTAGGAAATGTTTGAAGCTACCCCAGAGGTGAAGAAGCAGCATGCCTTATCCACTAACTCCTACTCAGTCCAGGCCAAAGCCTGGAAGTTAGGCAGCAAAGCTGGTTTAGCATGACCTTGAGTGCCCTCAAAGGAGCACACCCAAAACAGAAACCTGATAGTAGCTTGGATCATGCATGTAGCATCAGGCTAAACCAGCTACACAGCCCAACTCCAGGCTTTAACATGTGCTGAGCAGGAGAGATTGGGTGGGATGTGCTTCTCAGGGGAAGTCCTAAGCTTCCTATAGAGTCAATTTAAACAGGCTGTTTCTGAGCCTTCTGTTTCCCAGAGCAGGGGTTGTCAATCCTTTGGCCACAGCCCAGTGTCAGTCCACAGCATGGTCAGCTACTGGACCAGAAGTGGCCGTAGACCAGCAAACTGTGGCTCCCCAGAGCTGGGAAGAGAGGCCGGGGCTCCTTCTGCAGGGCTCATGGCAGCGCAGGGTTTGGCCCACCCCCCACCCGGGGGTCGGGGTATCCTTATTTGTCTGCCAGCTGGAAACTCCAGCTGTGGTCAGCTGTGACTGCTGGGCCACAGTTTGCCAGACCGCAGCATAAAAACTTTGAGAACCCCTGTCCCGGAGCAAGGCTGACACACTAAATTTTTCAGTAAAACAAATTCTGATTTGTGCATGGCTACTTAGGGATTTTCTACAGAGGGAACTGAACTGTGTGATGGTTATTTTGAGCTACTTCCCAGTGTGGACAACTCTAAATATATGTTAATGGCACTGCACAAACAAATAGTTAATGTATTGTAGACTTTAATTACAGCTCTCTGCCATTCTGTATATACCATACTTAAGTGTGAAGAACATTAACCCCTGAAAAAATCTTCATATTCAGATAAAAAATAAAGCCAGAATCAAGGCAGTCTCTGTGACATAAATGTGCATGCAGGAGGAACTGCATTATGACAGTCAGTTATGATCACATCAGTTCCATTCCTTTCCAACAAAATTCTGGACTTTAAGCATGATGATATCACAATTGGATTCATCACAATTGTCATCCAGGTCTGTTTTGTTAGACTACTTCACACAGATATATTACATGACCTGATAGGCTAGATGACCTGTTGTTCCTTCTCAATCTCACCAAATACATCTAAGCAAAATATTGGTGCCTAAAGTCCACACTGAACTGTCTACATGCACAAGTATTACTCATACACTGGCACTTCCCTTTCAATCTAGCTGATTATCTGTGGCAGGGAAAAAACAACACACACTGTTCACAGCTTGTGTCTTGCTGTGTGGTAATTTGGCTTTTCATGCACAGCACACTTACTCAACCTCCCTCAAATCTCCTTACTTTTTCTGGTGTTTTGGGGGTTTTGTTACTCTTTTGATCCTAGGCTTTACTTTGGGAAAAGTATCTCGTTCGAGCCTGGACAGAGTCATATTGATAGCAGGTCTTCATTTGATGTCCCAGCCATTGACAACTTGACTCTTTTGGAGCCGTGAACCTTAGAAGCTGTATTAATGTAATTAAAGAACTGGGCAAAAACAAACAAAAGAAATCCCCTAAACTATCCCTTTACACCTCCTTTAATTTAAATCTGAATTCAGACAGACAGCAATAGAGAACAATTAAACAGGGTAACTCAGCCACATAAAATTAATACAAATGGTTTCCCCACTTGGACACAATTTTATTTTCATTGGCAATACATAAAAACACAGCCACAAAAGCACACTATTGCGACATTACCTCCATGAGGGTCAGAGGGGAGAGTCCTAAACTGCTGTAAAGTTCTAGAGACAATGTACAGTGACAGAACAAATCAAACATATAGGGGTGTGCGAAACGGGCTGTATTCGATTCGGATTCACCCCGAATCAGGGACAGTGATTCGATTAGTTTTTTCTACACATCTTGAGGTACCAGTGCAGCTTGTAAATGCTGCAATGCTGGGGTGCATGGAGTGTCCCGCAGGACTGTGTGTGTGGGAGGGGGGGCCTCCACATGCTCGACAGCAAAACTGGAAGTGGACCGGAAGTATTTCTGGTCCAATTCCTGGTTTGCCAGGGAGCACGCTGGGGGCCCCCCCTGCACCTCCCTGGCTTGGTGATTGGCCACGGTGGGACCCCAGGTGCCCCCTGATACCCAGGAGGCACCAGTCGCTGAGCCAGGGAGGTGCAGGGGAGCCCCCCAGCGCACTCCCCGGTGGACCTGGAAGTAGAGTGGAAATGCTACTGGTCCACTTCTGGGTCTGCTGCCAAGCATGCTGGGGAGCCCCCTGCGCTCCTGTGGGATACTCTATGCACCCCAGCATCGCAGCACTCGTGAGCTCCTGCTACCTAGAGGCATGTAGAAAAAACATTTAAAGCTGTCTTCCATGTCCAAATTGCAGAATCTTTCTGAATTTCTCCAAATCAATTAGGAGGGTTCAGATTCGATTTGTAGAGATTAAAGGGTCCTCTGATTCAATTTGAATTTGGAGATTTGGCCACCAAATTGGGCCAAATCAAATCAGGGACCAAAGCTTCGCACAGCCCTATCAAGCAAGTATTTAAAAAGCCTGCTCCATCGTGAAAGAAACAACCCATCTCAGTCAACTATCTGTAATAGGGGCCTGCAATTCAAGTAAGTTATGCAGTGATTGTGTCATGTCTTATGGACACAGGAATGCTGACCAAGGTTTTGGCAGCAGGAGGACAGAGGAGTGGTACATTTCAAATTATTTCTATACTGAATGACCATTATCTGACCATTGCTGATTATGAAAGGCACCATACACCATTCCTTTAGATATGTTATATTAAGCTAACGTGACTAAAATTCACGGAACAAATCTAGAACACAGGTCTCAGACACCCCAGCGTTCCAGAACAGAGGAAGAGCATTTTACATCCATTTCTATATTACTTTTGGTTGCAGTTAGCATAACTACATTACTACAGCACTGTTGGCAAGCTAATTACCCCAGTGTCAACATCACAAAGATGCTACTTTACTTTTCTCACTCAAGGAGGCAGCTGTAAGGTGTCTCCTGAGCCAGAAACAGTGTAGCCATGTTCATCAAGCACTGTACTTGGGCAAATTACCTCTCCTTCAAGGAGACAATCCCACACAGCAGTGAGCAGGCTAATGAGCTCTGCTAAGAAGCAGAATTAGTCTACTCATAAGCTCCATATGCACGTAGGTACGAGAAACTGGTGTAGGAGGCAGCTTGTAGCTGCCTTCCAAATTGTAAGCAGTACAGCCTCATACTCCCAGTAGGTATAGCAGTACCCTGTCTAGTGTTGACCCAGAACCATTTTTTCCAATTTGCAACAAAAATCCTGTTTCAGGGGCTCCTCGACAGCACAGCCTCAAAATTCAGGATGGTTAGTCACTTTATTGTTTAACACTCTCTCTTGGTTTACAAGAGCTCCTCTCTTCTTGTTCCAGGAAACTTTTAAAAGAGCAAAGCTGTGGTTGAGGGAATTAGAGAAGGACTTTCTTCATGATGAAATAGCGATCATTTTAGTTGGCAATAAGACAGATCTTGCAACTGAATGAGAAGTCACATAAGAGGTAAATGGTATAAATTGCATCCAGAGAGAGAACTAAACATTTGCTATTTTTAGAGGTGCAATCTGATGCTGTTCCATCAGCGCAGAGGGCGCCTTTCACATTTAATAAATTACAGATAAACGCGTAAGTTAAACTGGTACTCTGATGAGTGAACAAAGAAAAGTCTTATGTACTTGTGTTGTTAGTACCTCATTAATCTTATCTTGCATGGTTTCAGTTCATAACTTTCCAAAATGTTAGACTTCTGTGAATGTGGTAGATTTGATTTTCAGCCAGGGCATTTTTTTTTTTTTTTTTTTTTTTTTTTTTTTTTTTTTTTTTTTTTTTTTAAGTCTGCACATGTGTTTCTATTGTGTCTTTTCACAGATTTTTATGTATATTGCAATGGTAGCTTCTGTTGTCCTAGTATACATACAACCAGGAAGTTGCTAGAACCGGTGCACTACTTTGTAGAGATTCAGCGTTAGACAGAGTGCACCCATGGCTGACAGGCCTCAGCAGGAGATGAGCTGGCAGATGGCCTGGGTGGTGCTGTTGTGATACCCCTCCTCTGGGGGTTAGATACAAGGCTATGACAGATTAGAAAAGTGGGAAAGGGATTAAGGAAGGAAGGAAAAATGTTTTAAAAAGCAACAGAGAGAAGTTGCCTTATCACCAAGTTTCCTGGTTCATGCATCTAAAATTATAGCATATGAACAGTTCATTAACTCGTTTGTTATTTTAAGTACTCTTGCCTTTAGCTGAGGAGTATTACAGATTCTCTTTTTCATCCCTTGCTTTGAGAAGGCACAACTCTGCACAAACCAAGCCATCTACAAGGAATTTTGCCCTGATGCTTATTAGTCAATGTTGTGTTTTTAGCCCAGGCAACATGAGCAAACATGTTTCCCTCCAGGTGCATCATAAAAGAACACAGGCATGGCATAACCAACAACAGCAGCCCATCTTCTCAACTCATGCTCCGTTTTACCTTAGTACTTAGCCCTCTAGAATGAAACAGTAGCAGTCGCTGGAACATTACCAGATTCCAAATGCTGGGGGAATAAAATCAGTGTAAAGTAAGTCTACAAAGCTCCTTCTTAGCATGACTAAACAGCTTTAAAAGCCAAACAAACAAGCAAGCCCCCCTCCCCCAAACAACAGCACCCCATTTCAAGTTTTGTCTGGCCTCCAGGGACACAGAGTGCAGTTCTAGGGCACATGATGAGCTCTGTTCCTTCATCATGGCTTAACTTGCAGGCTTGAGGACACACAAAAGTAGGCGGGGCTTATTTCCCAGTAGATCTCCTGAGTTCCCCCTAATGTCACCCTGTAGAGGCTTTATCTTAGTAGCCCAACTGAAACCGGCAAGGTACCATTACAGTTTAGAACATGCCTAGTCTTTTCCATCATAACTTTCCTTCTGTACACACCAACTAGGAGGGGAAAGAATTTGCAAGAAGCAAAGGCCTACTGCATGCAGAAACATCCGCAAAATCCAACCACAAAGTGACTGACGTTTTTATGGCCATAGGTAAGTTCAGAATAAGCAGCTGTTGTAATTAATAGCAAAGATGCTGTGACCCATGTATGTGGTTCTTTGTCTTCTGTCCTTCAGAGAGCTGTCAGTCTCACCCCTTATGTCCAGGAATCATTGAGTTTGAATCATTTGATAGAGACTCACAACCTGGAAAGCTCAGCAATATTGTGCTCCTAGGGACAGGCATGAGGCGACCAAGTGCACTCTTGCCAGCAAAACACTGTCATCAACAGTCTGCAAGACAGACCCAACCAGCAACCTCCCTGCTTAGAACAGAGACAAGCTGCGTCACCACACATGGCAGCAGAGAAAAGTAAATTTCCAATGCTTCACGTCTAATCAGAGGACGACACTTAAAATAATTAGCTTACAACAGTGCTCGTCAGATTGGAATAAGTGACAAAAAGGAAGAAGTGAGAAAGCAGAAGGGAACAAACAAACAAGGAACGAGGAATAGGAAGAGGCACCTGCACCCACTTCAAAAACAACACAAGACAGCCCTCAACCCCAAGCTCCACCACTTCCAAAGCAAGCACTCCTTAACCGAGAAAAGCAGAGAGGTTACTATACAACTGCAATGATATGAAGTATTACTTTTATTATCCATAACATGGAATCCTAAGGATACCTAGCAGTATAATTTAAAACAGGGTATGATACTCAGAAGTTTGGGAGACTCCTCAAATCTGAACTTCCAAGGTCACCAGGTAGTCTCCCAGCAGGTAGCCCTTCAGTCATAAAGCAAGAGGGGACTGCCAGGCTCCTACACTCATGAGTTATAATCACTGGCCCCAACAGCTCCAGGGGCTGATCGTTTCTTCCTGCTCATCGGGTTCCACTTTAAGCCTATTTCTATCTTCACCGCTGTCGGACACTATTTCCTATTTGCATCCAAGTATAATGCAAGAGTACAAATAAGCCATCTATTTCATTTACTCCCTGAAATTAACTTTTATAGGATGTAAATTAAAGCCTTGAGCAGGTTGAGAAACACAGGGCCCGATACCCAGGTGAAGTATTATAGGCTGTATCCCCTCTCTTCCTCCCCACCCTCAAACAGCTCTCAGTAGTTCCATAGCTTCATTGATGAACCACTTCTACTGCAGGACAGGTAGTGGCAGCTGAACAGTCTCCTCAGGACCATTCTGCCTGGCTGAGGATGGCATGTTCTAGCTACACCACAGTCCCTCCCTGGTAAGGGAAAGACATCTGGAGAATACTTACTGTTTTCACAAACAGCCAGAAAGTTGTCGTAACAATCTGAACTGGGTCCAGGGATTTGGATATAGCATCATTACAGCTTAGCTTAGAAAGATTAACTTTTTTTTTTTTTTTTTTTTTTTTTTTAAATATACTGTTTCATAGCTCAGAAATTATTGCAACAGGAGCAACAGAAGGAGACTACGCCGGTCCAGTCTCAGTCCTGGAAGAAGTCACGTGTGGATCTGAGAGCGCCAAACAGTAACCAGATTAAGAAGTGCTGCAAGAGCTAAATGAAATGGCAGTCTGGCCTAGATTTACCATTAAAAGGGGTTTAGGGGAAAGGGGGAAGGTGAGTGTGCAAAGACAGGAAGAAGGGAGGCATTACATATTGGGCTTAGTGTCAATTTTGATAGGACAACAAAGTCCTTATGATGCAACTGGAAGATTATATGTTTATTTTTTATTTTCACAGTATTAGTATTAGAATAACAAATTTTCAAATAGAAACAAGGGCAAGATATACATGAGCTCAAAAAGCACTGCCAATGACCATATTTTCTGTAAGAAACTTCTGCGTTGTATAAGAATACAATATCTAGCATCACCATAAAAAAAGACAACACTTAAGACAATGTTCTGCCCTCCCCCCCAGCCTTCTAAGTTCCACAACACACACAGACATCTTTGGAAGAAGCTACTAAATCACGTATGCAAGTAAGGCACAGAATATGAAGTATGATCAAACTAAGATTTCTCTACAAACTCTATAGCAGATGCTTTCTTGAACATATCATGATTTGGGCGGCGGGGGGGGGGGGGGGGGGGGG